ATTAATTATCTTATGAAAAAATAATGTTAATTATATTTTTAATTGTATTACAATTTGATATGATATTAAAATACATTTCACGAAACTTATTGATATTAATTAACATTAACGGAAAATTTATTCATGAAATGAAAAGAATTACGTGATTGTTAAATGGAGCATTGCAGAAATATCATCTATTTGTATTTGTTTTGCACGTTCGAGAGAATGAGTAATAAATTGACGTTGTAAAATGTGGAATTTGACTTCAAAATATGAGTTTATCAAGCGAGATGAAATAAATGCAAGAATGATTACGAAAGAATTACGGAAATCAGGGCATGCGAATTGGAGATAGACTTTAAAATGAAGTGATGAACATTAGGGGAATAATGCGACTCTAATTTATATCTTGCAAAAAAATCAAGTCGATTGATCTGCTGCAAATATTAAGCGAGTATTTTGCATGCGAATAATTGGCTCGATGAATATTGAGTTATTCAACGAACATCTTGCTTTGCTGCTTGCTGTGCTTTATACCTGGCGTAATATCGTCATCTGATCAACGTGCCGATCGTCCTGAACTTGACATTGTAACTGCACGTGACGCTCGAGAGATGAAAAGAGAGCAATGGAATAATTTTATTCAGAGTCGCTGCAGACACAAAGTCTAACAAATTAATTAAACTAATATGTTCATTGGTTATAATTATTAGAATCACGCAGTATAATCAACAGCAATAATTGAAAGTTACTACAAAATATATAAATAGTATAAAAAATATTTTAATTCGCTATCTTGGAATAGGAAATCACAAACGTAGATGCAAATAAATGTCATATATATATTCCGTTATACTGTTATATATTTTAAATTCAAATTCAGATGTTGAACGTAAATAATAAAATATTTTTAGCAATGCATAGTATACGTAAATTTCACAATATGACAATTACAAATTTTAACAGTATTTAGAAATCTCTATTTGTGTGAATTAAGAGATTCAAATTTGGAATTTTACATTTTATGATGATGTATAAATAATTTATTTTGTGTAACTTTTCACGGAATTTATTTTCGCGGACTTATAAACGAACGTTTATCATCGCCGTTGTGTATTTCGTCATTTTTTGACATTTTGAAAGCAATATAGTCGTGACCGGAATTTCTGCCGCTGAATTTAAGAGTTGTTATCCATCTCGGCGAAAGGTTGTACGAGAATGTCAGTCGAATATTTTATGAAGGACCGAATCAATAACGGACCTCTTCGCTGGAAACCGAATCACAAGTTTTATATTCTCGGATAACTTTGAAAAGAACAAATGTCGATAATAATCGCTAATGATAACCTCTGCAAGATCTTTACAAGAGCACATAATATGCGGTTTCGAGTCTTTTTCTTTGCGATTGCTTTCCCTTTGCGAGAATGAAGCAATTGAACGGTATAATTGATTACACAAATAAGAGCGTATATTTCTTAAGAGTTATGGAGAAATTCGTTCGCTAGCAACAAATGCAAACACGCGAGACACCATTTTTGTGCCTGTAAATGTACGCGGCTTTCGCTCGTGAAACTTCAACTCAGCAAAGTCCCGGGATTCCCACGGTTAGCTTGACGGTGTTTAACGAAACAATCCTACTGCGGCGTATAAGGATTGTACAGGCGCTTAGCTAAGCGACCAATTTTGATGGGAGGAACGTAGATTTAGGTTTACGTTACAAGCGATGACGCAAGAAGTCCCCGGAGGGACTTCAAGATAATATGATCCTGTATTGGGTAGTGGACCGTGATCAAAAAAATATACCTGAACGTAGCCGTAAATAATGCTAGCCATATATAATTACAACGGGAGATTAGGAACAAAGGCAGGGATAAAACAGATTTTCTCAGTTTAATTCCATTTAGATAGTTTTGTTTACGAATATTTCGTATTTTACTTTTGATTTAGTCAGATTGCGGCGTCATTCAGCTCTCTTCAGCGCGTTTATGTATTTTGTATTGATACAGTTATATTTAAATACTACTTGCATATTTAAATACTACTTGGTGTTTTTCTATTTCACATAATTTTATAGAAAATTTAATGGTATAGAAAGCAATAAGAACGAAAATCGCGTAAATTATTGTACATTAATTTATAACACGACAACGCTTCTGGTTCTTATTGCCTCCCATATCATTGTTTTCTTTTCTAAGAAATACCCATACATTACATAATTTGCAGGAAATTAACTGTCAATTTGAATTAGGATTTGATTTATGGGAGACTATTAGACACACGTTGTGAATCAGAACCGTGATTGCTGTTTATTAATAAATTTGAGTTTATTCTTTTGACTAATTTATATTTAATTTGTCCGAATTTGCGATAAGAGCCGTTGCAGGATGTTAGTGCTAAATTTTTAATTTTTCTTAAAGAAATTAGTAAATTAGTCTACAAGAGACAGTTAAATTGTACACCGATCTCAAATCGAGATACTTAAAGTGTACGAAATTTAAAATACATTGTTCTCATATATCGAGAAACTTTAATGTACGTATAGGAATTATTGTAAAGAAAGGAAGAGAGAAAAAGTATCAGGGCGCGAGTGGCTAAGCCGGGAATTGAACCCGGGTCTTCCGCTTGCCGGGCGAATGTGTTCTGACCATTAAACTACTCAGACCCCACGCTTCTAACATTTATCTCTCCTAGATTAGGAAATCAACAATGCTGTAGGACATAGCCACTCGCGCCCTGATATTTTTTCTCTCTTCCTTTCTTTACAATAATTCCTATACGTACATTAAAGTTTCTCGATATATGAGAACAATGTACTTTAAATTTCGTACACTTTAAGTATCTCGATTTGAGATCGGTGTACAATTTAACTGTCTCTTGTAGACTAATTTACTAATTTCTTTAAGAAAATTAAAAATTTAGCACTAACATCCTGCAACGGCTCTTATCGCCATTTCATTATTTCTCGTTTGTTAAACATATGGAGCCTTTCCATTATATGTGTTTTAAAGTTGTCCGAATTTTCTAGAAAAGTCGTAGAATTTGAACTCTCTGTTCATCTGTAAGATAAATCTGCAAATAGCATCCTTTAATTTATTATAATTTCCCGCTTGTCCGTAACATAGATGAAAAAGAGAGAGATAATTATATTTTATATTAATCTTATAGAGTTATTGAAATCTTAATAATCAACAATGTTTACGAGTGTTCTCGGAAATCTCTCCGTCAAGGACATGTTTCTAGCGCTACCAGTAGCCACTTAGGGTTATCGCCCTTTTGTCTATGCTCAAGGTCGCACGTGTTTATGAGACTCGAGATTTCTTCTAGGCAACCGCGTATGACGACAAAGACGTTATTTGACTTAGAACAATATGAAAGATAAAACTTGTGCGACGCAAGGGCGCGAGAGGCAACCATACTATTCAGTCACAGAAATGAAATTAATTAAAATCCAAAGTTTCGTCTAGATTAGAAAGTTCTCCGGAGACTTCAATGCGCGTTTCAACTTCTTATTCGTATTCCGCAAAATTCGCGTTTTACAACGAGAGAGGATCGCTGTCAACGCGCGGCAAAATCGCAGCGTTCCAGTTTATTACTTTACTCCGCGGAGAGTACTCGGCGCTTGCTCCACAATCCGCTCTATTTTAATGTAATAACAATAACCACTTTGAAGCACAAGCGGATACTTTAGATACCATAATCCTCAAGTTACGAAAAGTTCGGCGCTCGCTTAAAGACAATTGTGCGCAGGCTCTCGCTTATATTGTATATGTATTATCGTCCCTTCCGGTCTCCCGGCATCCGCCCGCCACCACCAGAATCCTCCCCGTGTTTCCGCAAGAAACAGCGAAGAGGGTGGACGGATGGCGGCGGTGGTAACAACGCCGTTGGATAAGATGTAAAAAAAATGTCCGCGCTATCGATCGCACCCGTTCTCACTCGCGCGCGGTGGCGCTTCAGATTCAGGCGTAACGATAATTCGCCACTCTGCCGTAACGAACCGGCTCTCCGGAGCCGACCAGAGCCTCTCCTTCTTTTTCTTCTCTCTTCTTTTCTCGCTCTCTCTTTCTCTCTCTCTCTCTTTCTCTTTCTTTCTCTCTTCCTCTTTCTCCCAGCTTCTACGTGTAAGAAATGCCGGAACAGACGGCGAGGGGAAAGGAGAAGAGACGGAGGAAGAAGGGCAAACGGGACGGGAGTTGTTTGCGAACACGGGTCTCTCGTTTTTCAAGAAGGCACTCACAATCAGGCTGTATTGTTCTCAAGGAGAAACCGCCTGCCGCGAAAACGAGCTTCGTCACCGACGTGGTGCACCATCGTCGTCGTTCGTCGTTGTCGTCATTGACGTATCGTGACGCGATTCGCTGCACGAGAGACACCGCTGGGCCTAGCCGAGTGTAGATGGTCCTTCACAGAAGGAGAACTTCACGAAGGGAACTTTGAAGTATCTTTTCAGGAAAACAGAGATACATGAATGTGTGGAAAATTAATGGAATATAGACACACGTTGTTACACTTTTGTTTTCAGGCAAAGATAATTTTTGCCGCGATAGCCGCGGCAATCGAGCTAATTAATAGTCCTCGCGCATTTAATTTTACAATTAAATTTTCTTATAATATTATCTTATTTTATAACACATAATTACAGTAGTTTATAATATAATTATGTCACGAAAATACAACACGTTGCTTTTACTCAAAGCCACTACGTGGTAATGAGGAGTTCTATTTCAAGACGATGTATTACTTGGCTAGTTCAAAATTAAACTAAATTAGACTAATAAATTAATTTGCTAATCAATTAAAGCAAAAAATTAAGAATTTAAGTTTTCTCGTAATACAATATATAGTAATTTAGTAATACAATAGTAATTACAATAGAGACTGAGTGGTTGTTGGATAACATCAACATTAACACAAATGCACGTCAGGCCACAAACTTCGGTCGCCGTCAGCGGTGCGAATTTGATTGAAACTTCGAAAATTAGACACCCGTCTGAATTTTGAAACGTTGCATTTTGCAGAACGAATTGCTGGGTCAGTACCTGTACAGTTTCGTCTATCCCGACGACTATTTAAAGCTCGCGGAAAACATCACGCCTGACGGGATGAAAGTGGAACTACCGGAGTACCTGAGGAGTAGCTCGCGGACATCCGAATCGATGCACGATAACAATTCCAGTTCCTCCGATGATTCGACGTCGACTCAACGAACAAAAGATTGGCCATTCTTCTCCGAGCAGAGGCGGACCTTCCAGATTCGTATGGCGCAGCGCACCGTCTCCAAGCGCGAGCACACGCAGTACGAATGGTTTGAAATTTCGGGAGTCTTCCGGATCGCGAACGCCTGCAAGAATTCAGATTTAAACGGAAACAAAGGGAGACATCGAGGTGAATAATTTTCTTAGTCTTCTGCACGCGGAAAACGCAAGTTTATTTTCTACGTTCTCCAAATTTTAACAATTTTATTCTCATGACAGCGACTTTCTCACTGAAAGTAACTTTTAATTCGAGTCAGATAAATCGAATTTAATTTGTTGGATAAAATAAATTTAAAGAAAGTAAATCTGAAAAGATTTAGCGCTGATCACACGATGAGAATATAAATCTAAATTTTTATTGTTCCTTTTAATTACGATTTTATCTTAATTTCTTGCTTTAATTATTTTCAATAATGTAAAATTCATATTTTAAACAATATGTGAGCAGTGCAGCAAACACGTTATTAAATCTTCTTGCTGAATAAAATGCAATCGGAAAGAGACGCTCCTTTGTATAAATCAGCAATAACGTGTTTCATTATGTAGGTGTCTTATGTCGAACGGTCTATAGCGAGTGCGAAGAGAACTTCTCGCGTAAATCCTCCGGATCGATGGTCTTGTTTTATTACGATTGAAACCCGTAGCGCTGGTTTCAAAACGAGTATCACAAATATTTACGCTACTCCTGTATTTAAATTTAGCCTTCGGCAACGCTGACGGAGAGGTATAAGCGCCGTCACAGGCGTGTAGCGTAAATTCTTCGACTCGCCTCTTAGATCAGAGCTGAACGCAGAAAGCACGTGTCGTACAGTACAGAGATGCGTGGTTTGAGACGGATCAGCATATAGACGGTCTCGATTACGCTGTCTTTTTACATACAGGATGTTCGAATTTGTGCCTTTTGCTATCGACCTTTTGCTTACGAATTCCTTCCTTCATGTATCTTGCATCAATCTTTTCTTAGTGTATATTTAATGGAAAGCCAATACAGCCGCTGTAACTTTTCACTTTTCAACGTTATCAATATCTCAGTAATCTCAGTTTAAAATTACATTTTTTGCTGGGACTCACTTCGTATTTACATTTTTCAGACTTTATTTGCATAAACTTTTTAACTTACGATCACTCGTGGACAAAAGTTATCGATGCCGCGACATTAAACATCGACTATTCTTTTTTTTTTGTGATTCACAATGTCTGTAATTAGAAAGCAATTGCAGTAATTGTCTATATTTTCTTGAGCGATACTGGTTTCACAGATTTGTTTTCAAATACTGCTTTCCATGGAGCACTTTAATGATGTATCGTGACGCAATTCGCTTCTGGGTACTCACGTTTCACTTCCGGCTTTACTCCGCCGTTAGGTCGCGTCTGATTGTTTACTAACCCCAGCCCTTTCTGATGACTTTGATAGAGACAACAGAGAGGTCGAGAATTACGACCAACGACGTCATTTTCGCCGGCATGGCGACGCTACCCAAGAAACGGTCTATTACCGAATTGTCAATAATGGACGCCAATAAAGACGAGTATGTGACGCGGCATCTGGTCGACGGGCGTATCATCTATTGCGATCACAGGGTGTCCGTCGTCGCCGGATACATGTCGGAGGAGGTGTCAGGTCTGAACGCGTTCGCCTTCATGCACAAGGATGATTTCAGGTGGACGATGATTGGCCTACGGCAAAGTAAGCGTTTCAATGTGTAATTAGCACTAAACCCTCGCACAACAAAGATTCGCATTCACCACGAAATCTCGCAGTACATTTTGCACCAAAGTATTTGCACAAAAGAGTCGTTAAAGAAGCATTATGCATTTTTATATTACATTTGTTTTATGTTTAAAACATAACATGGAGATTAATAATATTACATTACGCGTTATACTGAAATTATTTTAACGCATCCGGACCTACTTACGTTGTTTTACATGTTATTTCCATAACAAATTGCAATTTAAATATAGTAACAAAGTATATGCAAAGCAGCCTATTTAAAGTCCAGTTTGACGCTGGTAATTACTGACAATTTTTTTTATATATTTGCAGTGTACGACCGTGCCGAAACATGCGGCTCCTCGTGCTACAGGTTGCTCACAAAGACCGGACAATTTATCTACCTACGGACACATGGTTACCTCGAGTTCGACAAAGACACGCAAACGGTGGAATCCTTTGTTTGTGTTAACACCTTAGTATCGTAAGTATGTTTCGCACATTAAGACACATTGGGACAAATGACAAACCGGTTTTGATACAAAAATCGACGTTGGAGCAAGAAATATGAAGGAACAACGAATTATTGAAGAAAAAATAATTCGGAAATTTTTGAAACTGTTGATTGAATAACGCTGAAATTGGTTTTATCAAACAAAATTTCAATTTTTTTTTTTTACATTTGCTCTGTTTTTCTGCTTGCTCCAGTCTATTCTTTTCGTCAAAAAGAACTGTTCTTTTTGTCCCTCAAGTGCTAAACAAACGTCGGAAATATCATGCAACCAATATTCAGCAACATATAGCAATGGGGAAACTTTGTGTGCAGGGAAGAGGAGGGCCTCCGACTGATAATGGAGATGAAAGAAAAATTCTCCGCGATAGTGTCCACAAATGGATTGATTCCGAACCTTACCGATATTAACTCGTCGATAGAATTGGTAAGTCAAACTATCCTATCGCGCAGACCTGGTAGATTGTAAATGGTAGTTTAGTAGGTCTGATTGAAACGGCGTTTTCGCCGTTTACACTGCGCGTAAGACTTGGAGCGGAAAGGTAATTTAACGATCTGAATGTTCATTAGTGCTCGAGCTCCCAATCATCGAATCCGAAGTGCAGTCTTGAAGATCCGACGCAGCTCGAGGACGCGATAACTCACCTAATCAGCGATTTACCTTCGCCCTCGCCCTCGAGCATGTCGGAAGACTCTTTTTCGCCGATGCCGAACACACAGTATGTAAAGGCTGCTATATTCGCGTCTCGTATGCCACCGGTTGCTACGCATGCCAACAAGGTTGGTATCAATAAGCTCGATCTTTTCAAGATGAAAGGTAAAAGCAATTGTACATCATCGAAAGAATCCAACAATCATAAACACACGATCGGAAAGTGTATGAATCCCAATAAAGCGAAGGAAAGTTCAATATCGGATTCAGAGAGCGCAAAATCATCCGGCAAGTCCATAAAGGTGCTCGATATGATGGAAACTGCCCACAACAGCCGCGGCAACAGTCAGAACGTCGATGTGCCGACACAATCGAACAGTCTTGCCACTCATAAGCCTAATACAAATCCTTGCGTGTCTTGCAGTAGTCATACATCATGTATGGATGCTCCTCAAAGCGCAAATGTCTCGAACACGCAGGAAAGAATGAAGCAGCAGAGCAACGCTAGCATGTTGCCGCGAAATACGTTGCACGAGTTTGCCGCGTACAACATCAAGGTGGAATGTGGCGTCGAGACGTTCAATTGTCGCCAGAAACAGAAGTCGGTACTGCAATACTTAGACTGCGACAGCGTGAGTGACAGTTCCATCGTCTCAGCGAGTGTCGAAACGCATACGACAAGTCGAGGTACGTTGAAAAGGATATGCAGCGACGAAGATTTTTCGACGACGCATAAGAAGAGGCCCAGCAATGTGTATGCATCGACAAACACTAACGAAGAACAGCAGGATGTTTCTCATATGAAGTGCAGGGGCATGACTTCCGCGAGTGAAAACAAGTATCCCACACTCGAGTTTAATCAGTTTAACGACGTCAATTCGCAACCTCTGATGACGGCGTCGCCTAACTCAAATCTGCACGAGGTTGGAACGGACTATCAGCAGCTAATAGATCCATTCGGGAATCCACTGATCGTGACGAATGCCGACGAGGAGCAGTTTATGCAGAACTTGAAGGACGCGAAAGATGATACGCCCTTGAGTCCAGACTTGGACGCAAATCCAGGTATTGCAATATAGAACTCCCGTTCGTCTCTCTCAACAAAGTAAAATGTGTAATTTTATTTTTATCTTTAATAAGTTTTTACACTCTGAATGTTTCTTACATTCTTACGTATAAATCTTACGTATTTTTACTCCTTTTTTGTTGCCTTGATTAACGTCATATTATCCTATAAATATATTCTTAATATAAACTTTTTCTTTCTGTTTTCTTGCAGAGTTTATGATGAAGATATTAGACGGTTTTCCTAACGAATCTACAACGGACTTTAAAAGTAAGAGGCCACCCGGTAGCGCATAATACCTCTTGATTTTTATTAATTTAACTACTACTGCGGGATTAAGTGGCATTAGTCGCCACGTCAAATAGGAGACATAACTATTGGAAAATATCTTCTAATTTATTTTTAGTTTTATCTTAATAATATTAATCTAACCATGTGTTCTAATTATATAACAAATGACAAAAAGAAAAAATTCACGCAAATGCTTATAACGATAAAATATTTTAAGTTTTAATTGCTGGAATATAATTAATAAAATTAGTATTAAATTAGTATATTAAATTAGTATTAAATTTTTAATTGTATGATTTAATACAGGCAATATATATTACGTATAAAATACGTGTAAAATATTACGTTTACATACTATATTGTCTTTGATGAGAGAGGTGTATTTATCAAATTAATTTTTTACTTATTTTAGACGACTTTAATGAATCAAGAGCACAGCAGTTTATAGCACTTGAAGATGTAAGTATAGAATGTGAATCATTATAAAAGTGAATAATTTAGAAATGGTTTAGAGAAACAAACTCTTGAGCTAAATTATACAATGCGTTTACAGCAAATAGTCAATGAAGGGTTAAGACGCAAACATATTGACCTATCAAAAGAACAGACGAAACGTGAATCCCAAATCAACGTGTTGGCGCAAGATCTCAAAGGTTCGGCCTTACGTGCCCAGAGAGAGAACTTGTCACAGATAGAGGTACATACTGATACTGCTGTCTTCACATTGATATTGAAACGTACGATACGTTAAGATTAATTTGCCAATTTATTATTTTTTAGGCTGAGCACAACAAGCAGATACAAATGCTTAAAACTTTACAGCAGGACCATGCCAGAATGCAAGCAAATGCCAGATATCTCACTATATCAGACATGGGGTAGTTTCGCAGTCGCTTCGCGAGTTTTGTTGGAACCACTTTTGAGAAACTGTGCTAATCGATGAGAAGCTTTAAGAATCATTAAAAGTCTCATCTCAAGAAACTAAACAAGGACATACGTGCAATTTGCATAAAGTTTCTCAGATTATATTTTGATATTGTATTCTGGGATTTCCTTTGTTTCCGAATTACCGAATCACAAAAGTTTACGGCAGGTCTGGATAATCTTCAACGCAGCGCGCGCAGGTAGCGTATGCAGAACCACTCGGTTCATGAAGAAGAAAAGCATTGCTTAGACCGACTGGTGATTCATCCATTGTTAGGTAAAGCAGTCTGTATGTTTCCATCAACTATAAGTGAAAAAAAACCAAGTGAAGAGATAGTGGAAAAAAGAACTCGAAGTGGTTGACGTGTACAAGTGATTCTTTTCCTTTCTTTTTTTTCCGTTCTCTTAACTCTTTACGATCACGACAAGGACTTTGTTACGCGCGCAGCCGTGCAAAAGGTCGCGCACTTCGCTCACTGATTGACCGTGCAGATCGTACAAAGCCGTTGGTAAACGGTCCATTATAAGTAACAATCGCTTCTCTGGCAGATTTCCTGCGGCGATCGAGTGTTATGCAGTTGGCAGTTTTCAAATTTTACGATAGTGAACTTGTACATATGATATACGTTCGATTCTAAGCGGCACTTTCTTCGCACTAAGTTTCTCGCTCGCCACAAGTCTGGCCGAGCTTAACTACCTCTGCGGTTATGCATGTATCGGATGGATACGAAACCAGTCTCGGCTTTATCTTTATTGGTTGTAATTACGGACTCCTTCACGGTGTCGAAAATTAATAATACTCAAAGTGCTGTTTTACCTTTTTATAATCATGAATCAATACCATTAAAAACGATTCGGTAATTTTAACGAATGATGTTTTAATTTATCGTAACTTGTGTAATTTCTATTGCGTTTTTGTGTGTGCGCGCACGCAAAAATAACAAACACAAAAGATTAGAGTATGTCTATAGGGTTGCCACGTGTCCTACTTTTGGTGGGACAGTTTTACAACTGTCTACAATGTACCTGAATTACATTTACGTTTAAATGTCCTGTAATGCTTAGAAATTAAATGTCTAATTATGTGTTGGTAAAAGATGATAATAAATATATAAGCTTTAGTCATTGAAAGTAGATCTCCTTTTTTACTTGCTTATTCCTCTTTTTCTGCATGGTTACGCTACCTCTTCTATGTACAGTTCTACTCTACTTCTTTTAAAAATGTGGTAACCCTATAAGTACATTTCTAATGTTATTACGTTACAAGCGCAGTAAATCCTCCGAGAATATTTTAACTTTGCTATGTACAAATACAAAGCATTAAATGTAATAATATTAAGATAAATGTAAATAATATATTTAAACAAACTTATTGTTCTTATTTAAACCAATTTCTTACAAAAAAATCGAATCGTCTAGTTACCGTTTTACTCAATTGATTTGCATAAATGAGGTTTTACGATATACGCCAAGTTTTGCTACGTCTTTTTATAACTTGTTTGATTGACTTTTTATGTTCCACTGGCTTTGCTATCCATCCAATATTATGTTATTACGCGAATATGCATATTAATAAACGCTATTTTTATTTTATCAGTAGTTGACCTCCACAGTAATGAGTATCAATGAGAGTGGTGAACAGAAGCTACACATTTGATTTGTGTGTATCAAATGTTGATACGAATGCACATTGGTCAAACGTATTTTTTGTGACTACTTATGACGCCGCAGGTCAGCGTGGATATAAACGTATTGTATATTATATATTGTTAAAGTGTAAAAGATATTAATATAAGAGAGTGACGGAAATAGTATACTTGAGAACATATTCAGCACTGGCACTTAACAGATTTACGAGTTTACTTGAATTCTGTCTGTACACGTATAACGTAAGGCTGGTCCTATAAAAAAAATACACAC